TCCCCTGCCTGGAATAAAATACTGAATCTCTTGATTAAGCACTGAGTAAACCTCCCCTCAAGTCATTCACTTCCCCGACACGTGGGCAAACATCCTACCATCATATCACTACTGTGGAACAGTCATTCATAGGCGTCATGGCAACTTGTGCCTAGCCCCAAAGCCCTCAGAAGTACCGTTACTGAGCGGAAACATTAAAATATCCTTATATAAGGCAACTATAATAATCAAATCAACTACACTGGGAGAAACACCCCGCACCACATCCGTGGTACCGTTATGATTCTTTAATTCTCGATTTATAACAAGTGGTTCGTGTCGCATAAGATTGAGTAGGAAAGAAACAAAGGCATAATCCTCACAAGAATCAAATCGCATGATAAGGAATTAAGAAGGGAAGTACTCCTAACAGTCCTATAGCCTCCCGAGGATAAGTACAGACATCTCCGTACCGATCCGCAAGACTCTAGTAGACTTGCTCATGACTCGTGAGACCCTAGGGACCTAGTGCTCTAATACCATGTTGTCACGACCCAAAATCCACTAAGGGTTGTGATGGCGCCGGACACTGCTGTCAGGCAAGCCAACCAAATTACTTAATCCAAATCTCGTTTTAATACTTTTTAAAATCCATGAATTTCCTTCAATTTAGCATTTTTAAAAGAGAATAGTCTCAAATCGAATTGAAATGATAAGCAGTTAATATAAAATACTTCAAACCATCCCAGAACCCGGTGTCACAAGTGCATAAGCCTCTACTGACAAGGAATTAAAATACAACATCCGTCCGAAATACAGTGGACAGAAAGTAAATACAGTATGCTGGAAGGGGACTGCTCTACCTGCGGCTGTCTCGAATAATGCAGCTCACCTAGTCCCAGAATCATCCGTGCTGCTACGCCCAGTAGGCCGCTAGAGGTACATATACCTGTGCAACAAAAATGCACAGAAGTGTAGTATGAGTACGTAAACAACGTGTACTCAATGAGTATCCCGCCTAATCTCGAAGAAGTAGAGACGAGATGGTCAACTTCGACACTTACTAGTGGTGTAATAATGATGTCAATATTACATTAAATCGTGAATTTCTACCAACATGATTTTTATCAAATAGGAGGAAACAAGTAAACTATTATTCATTTTTTTATGGGAAATTACCCAAATTCATTTTTCCATTAATTTCCAAATATTCTCAAGCCATGAAGAGGCAATAACAACTTTAATAAGTTCAAGCAGCAATACAAGCATGCGCAACTCATGCCGAGGTCGACGGCCCGCTCCAACAGAAATGTAAATTGTGCACTGCCGAGGGTCGAACGGCGCGAACCATAGATGCATCTATTTAATCTGCCGTGGCGTTGCTCCAAAATTTAAACACACACAGACAATCAATCAAGAGGTCCACACAGAGTAATTATCTAATGAAAACAAATCCTCTTTTAACCATTTAAGAAAAATAAAGTTTTATCTGTTTAGAAATTCGTCTACTAATTCGATGTGATTAAAGCAATTCAAGCTACCAGTAGGTTCGTAAATAATCCAAGTATAGCATTCTTTTGGGTCCTAACTACCCGGACAATAGCATAATAGTAGCTACACACGGACTCTCGTCACCTCGTGCGTACGTAGCCCCCACAAATAGGAGCACATAATCAATTATTTCACCTATGGGGACAATTTCCTCTTACAAGATTAGAAAGGAGACTCACCTCGCTCCGAAGGTCCACAACCGGCATTCCACGCCCTTCCGAAGACTCGAATCGATGCACAACGCTCCAAAACTAGCCAATAATTATGTAAATCCATTAATATATGTTAAGGTACTCATTATAATCCAATTTATAACAATTTCCTAACCCCGATCGAAAAGTTGACGAAAACGCCCTCGGGCCCACGTGCCCGAAATCCGAAATTTCTCGAAGGTAAAGTTTACCCATATCCTTGCGAACTCAAATATATAATATTCTCTAAATTCCATAATCAAAATCGTGGTTAAATTCCAAGAATAATAAGTTTCTAGGTTTTCCCTCAACCCCAAGTTTTTCTACAAATTTCATGCTCAAATCCATACATAATTGATGTATTTAACTCAAAATAGGTGGGGATATCTTACCTTGACGTTGATGACGAAAATCTCCTCTTGAAGCTCCCCAAAATCGCCCATGCCAAGAGAAAAATGGGAGAAGAATGGCCAAATTGCGCATTTAAAACAATTCTGCCTCCAGCTATTTCCGCACCTGCGGTCCCTTGACCGCTTCTGCGGTTCCGCAGGTGCGGTTAAAATACCGCTTCTGCGGTCCTCCCTAGGCCGCCCTTTTTCGCTTCTGCGACGTACCTCCCGCAGATGCGGTCCCGCTTCTGCGAAACCCTGACCGCATCTGCGGTCCACTCCAAGCTGCTCCTCTTCCGCTTCTGTGACCGGCCTTCCGCAGGTGCAGTCCCGCTTCTGCGGAACCTTGACCGCATCTGCGGTCCACGAGCCCGGTCCTCGAGCCCCTGACCAAAATCCGCTTCTGCGGCTCCCTTTCCCGCAGAAGCGGTTATACCAGCAACCAGACCCTTCAGCTGTCCAAAAATTCCAAATTTTGATCTGTTAATCACCCGGAATCCACCCGAGGCCCCCGGGACCTCAGCCAAACCTACCAACAAATCCCAAAACACGCTACGGGCTTTCTCGAGGCCTCAAATCACATCGAATAATGCTAAAATATGAGTCAACCTCCAATCCAAGCTTTATGAACTTTAGAATTTTCAACTTCTACTTTCGATGCTTAAACATATCAAATCATGTCCGATTGACCTCCAATTTTGCGCACCAGACATATTCGACATTACGGACCTACTCCAACTTTCGGAATCAGATTCCGACCCCAATATCAAAAAGTCCACTTCCGGTCAAACTTCTCAAAACCTTCAATTTCTATCTTTAGCCAAATGACTTCAAAATGACCTACGGACCTCCGAATTCACTTCCGATCGCGCCCCAACTCCAGAATCACCATACAGAGCTATTCGCAGTATCGGAATCTCAAACGGACATCGATAACACTGAAATGTACTTCAAGCCAGACTTATGAAATTTCTTCTAAAATGCTAACTTCCTCAATAGGCGCCAAAACACTCCCGGGTTATCCAAAACCCGAACCGAGCATACGCTCAAGTCCGAAATCATCATACGAACCTGCTGGAACCTTTAGATCCTGATTCGGAGGTGTTTACTCAAAAATCCCATCCTAGTTAATTCTTTCAACCTTAAGCCTCCGAAATGAGAATTCTCTTTCCAAATCAACTCCGAACTTCCCGAAACTCAATTCCGACCACGCGTACAAGTCGTAATACCTGAAATGAAGCTGCTCATGGCCTCAGGCTGCTGAACGACGCGCTAGGGCTCAAAACGACCGGTCGGGTCGTTACAATTTCCGAGCGAAATCGGTCGGAGATTTCAAATAAATTCTCCAACTTTTTGAAATTTCAGACCGAACTCGGTCGGAAATTATGAATTTATATTTATTTTTTCAAATAAATTAATAATTTATTATAATTTACAACTAGTTATTTATTTAAATAAAATTATTACTATTTTCAAATTCCGACCGATTTCGGTCAGTATTTGAAAATTAAAAAATATATATATTTTAATGGTTATCGACCGACTTCGGTCGGAAATTTCCGACCGTTTTCGGTCGATACACGTTAGCGACCATCATTTTCTCGACCAATTAAAATTGGTCAGAAATCGGTCGATTTTTATCAATTTTCGACCGATTTCGGTCGGTTTTGGTGGACGAATTTCCACTGTTTTTAGTAGTGTTATTTATTAACTTTAAATAATGAATTGTATATATGATCACTTTCTTATCAAGTGTTAGTGAAATGCGTCAATCTCTTTGTTCTTACATATTCATATGTCAAGATCTATTAAATTCTTATATCTTTTTCGAACTTGAAATGATATTTCGATAATTTAAAATTAAATAGAACATTTCATTGTATAGGTTCATATTTATTTTATGCTTAATTATTAAATTCGATTAACCTTGAAAGTGTACATCAACGTAAAATTATTGTCAGACGATTAAAAAATAACTATCATGTGTTACTAAGAAAATTCTTCCATAAGTATATTTTAATAGAACATATATATATTTGTGAATTTTTTTTAATTTTTACTAAACATATATTTACTTATTAAAAATTTGACAAAATAAGATTGAAATAATATTCATATAACAAATAAAACCCGAAAAGTCCAACAAAACTGAACTAATCCAAATCAATATAGTTGGTTTGGTTCGATTTTGAAATCGAACCAACCTTTTTCATGTACACCCCTATTTTGGACAAATGGGTTATTGGGATATACTATCAATTATTCCACGTAGTTGCCATTTGCCACGATGCTGATATATTGCCAAATTCTTACCAGAAACAAGTATTCATTTTCACTATAAGTTGAATTTTGACTCCATTTGCGTGTAACTATTTTTCTAAAAAGAATCGACTGCTGCCTTTCAAGCGAAAATGCTTACCCATCTGCCTTAATTATATAGTATTACAATATTTATACAATCAATGACTTAAAATATAATTGTACTTACTTCTATACAATAAGCATCAATTAATAACTTAGTTCAAATAATATGTTCTAACGTTAAATTAACTAATAGCTAGTGTGTATATATACATAACTTAAATCTTATATGAAATAACTATTACACAATCTGAATCTCTAGCTAACATCTCCTCCTGCAATACAAATGAGGTGCATATATGAAATAAATTAAAAAAAAAAAATTCTATGGTCTACACTAAGGCTAATAGCTTAATCGTATTAGTCGAAGTTTTCCACACAATAGATGTGAGTTCAATTCTCGTCATCCCCTTTTTCCTTCTCTCTCAATCCCCCTAAGTAATGATGGAAAAATATTTAAAAAGAAAAGAAAAGAAAGAAGAGAATTTTATAATCTACAAAATGTCCTTATAAGACAACTAAAATTTCACTACCTTGAACTAATTGGTTCTTCCATAATTGTCTCCAATAAAGGCTTCTTTGATCTGCATGACACCCTATACCTAAATTCTTGTACCTCCACAAAACCTTCTAATTCATTCAAATTCAAACCTAACCATCCAAGACCATCTTTTCCTGACGAGTTATCTGGTATATGTGCTGGTGTCGGTTTTGAGTTAGCCGTCATAAAAAAATCTTCCATATCTTTCTCCGTGATCACAGAATTCACCCTCTTCATAGAAAACATAACGTAAATATTACCAAACTCCAAGTCTTCATCGGCCGACAAGGCGAAAAACCGTCGGCCGATGATCAACGAGCAGGAGTTTACTAAGAAGGAGTTTGGATATTCCAACATAAGCTCTGCTGCTTTTACTGTCTCATGGAACTGTTGGATTTGTCCATTTGGTAGAATAACCCTAGCTGCTTTTGAATTCCTTGTCCTTGGTGAAGTAGTGCAAGAAATAAAGTTCCCCATAGAAAAAAATGAAGAATTTAAAATGGAAAGGTTTTAGATTGTGATTTCTTGGTTTTGGTTGATAATATTATAAAGAGTTAAGAATTGAGGAAATGATAATGATGGAGCAAACCACGAGCTACTTAATTTTGGGTATTTGAAGGAGTTTATCTATATATACGTCTTATATCGAAAACAACCTCTTTACCTGCTCATAGGGATAAGATTTACGTATACATTACCTTACTCAGACTTCACTTGTGGGATTATACTATGCATCACATCATCACATAAATATTCAGATAATAATCTTTGTTTTTCTTTAGTGAAAATATACATGGACAAGGAAGAGTTTCAGGGTTTCTTTTTTATTGTTATTTTTCTTCTTCGAAATTGTTATATTTATAAGGTTGTTTCTTAGCAGAAGGTTTACGATGTAAGACGCATTGATGTACGTGGGGACTGACCTGTTAAATCCGTGGGAATGTGTTGGCAAAATTTTTGGTGGGAATGGCCTAAGTGGTGTGGAAGTTTTTCTTCACTTTTTCTTCAATTTTTCAACGCTTTAGTTTCACTTTTTGTGGTGGGGTTGGGAGAAAAAAAAAAATCCTTGATTAGTGTGCTCTTTACTAATTCCTACGTTTCAATTTATGTGACAATTTTGATAATATACATAATTTTAAAAAAAAATAAGATTTACAATCTGAAATAAATCACAAATATTTATGTGGTGATAAATCATCTCATTAAAGAAAAATGTATAAAGTTAGATTTTTTCTAAAAAATTAAATATCACTATTTTTTAAACACACTAAAAAATAAAGTATAACATATAAATTGGGACAGAGGGAGTAATATCAATTTGTGTGATGTATTTGAAATTGTATTCATATACTGGTATTTCAGAGCTATTATTTTAAAGCTCTCCCCTTTTTGCAACCAACCCGAATTTGAATTTCTTCAAATAGTAAAACCAATAATTTTGAAAAAATGAAGTTATAGACAATATTACAGAGGATAATGAAGAACAATTTCACTGTAAATTGATCTGAATTGTTTCATAGAGAGCGCATTATTGGGTTGGGCTTTTATGGTTTAGTCGGTGGAGTTCAGCCCATTACAAATAGGCTTTGGGTTTGTCCAAAATAGTGCTTGTTCAGCCCATTTATATACAGACGCTTAAACTAATGCGACGTGGTCCGGTCAGCAAAATAAATCCCGGTCAGCAAATATGACCTATAAAACTTGTTGCGGTTTTTTTAAACTACATCTCCTTTAGGCTTTGGTGGAGTCAATTACTCAAATGGTCACTCAACTATCTCAAATTATCTCTTAAAGTCACTTTTTTTTCGTTTGTAATAATAAAGTCACTGAATTATGTATATTGCACTTAAAAGGACACTCAACTAAATTTTTAAACTTTCGAATTGCCAAATACCTATTTTACCCTCTAAATTATAAATATTTATCTTCTTTTATTTTATATTATGATTTTTCCTTTTTAATTTATATTATGGACTTACCTATAGAATAAATAAATATTATTTATAAATTAAAAAAAGTATTTAAGCATCTATAATGCAGGAATAACAAAATAATGAGCATAGTAAAATAATTAATTAGAATAATTTATTTATAATAATAATTTTAGTATCAACAACTAAAACTTAAAATTTATTTACACAATTCACAATGAAAGAAACTAAAGGTTGTAAAGTATATACATTCCATGCACGCAATATAAAATAATTATTTAAATAAAAATATTTTTATAATATACATTATATATTATTGAAAATTATACTCAATTATATTATATATAGTCCATGCACGAGTTAACATAGCATATTTTACCCTATACAGATAGTCCTCCTGCTTTTCGGTGATATAACTTTGTGTCGTCGGAAAGTTGGTAGAAACATAATAATATAATTAAGCATAATTTTCAAGAATATATAATGTATTATATAAAAATACCTTTATTTAAATAATTATTTTAATATTACGTGCATGGAATATATATTTTACAACCTTTATTTTCTTTCATTCTGAATTGTGTAAATAAATTTTGAATTTTTGTTGTTAATACTAAATTATTATTACTAACAAATTATTCTAGTTAATTTTTTTACTATGTTCATTATTTTTTTATTCTAGCATTATATATGCTTAAATACTTTCTATTTTTTTAATTTATAAATAATATTTATTTATTCTATAGGTAAGTCCGTAATATAAATTAAAAAGGGAAAATCATAATATTAAAAAAAAATTAAAAAATAAAAATAAGATAAATGTTTATAATTTAGAGGGTATAATAGGTATTTGGCAATCCAAAATTTGAAAAATCTAGTTGAGTGACCTTCTGAGTGCAATAGGCATAGTTTAGTGACTTTATTTTTACAAACGAAAGTAAAGTGACTTTGGTGCTCACTCATTGTATGGGTTTTTACATATTTTTTGAAATCTCAGAATTTTGGAAAAGAAATTCTCAAATTTTACTCGCTTTAGCCCCAACTTCCAGGAAATGGCCGTAGCACATAGATTTATTTATTTATTTATTTATCATCAATCTAAATAATCATATATAAATGAATACATTCTCCGTCGGTATATACGATGAATTGTAAAGCTCGAAATAGATGTAGCATATCAAATGATAATCCAACCCTATATACGATGAAGTCATACTTGTAAGACCCATAAATGCACATATACTTCTTTATATAATTATAATTATGGTTAATTATTGCATATTTTATCTCATTAAGTCAATTATGATTTAACCATGGTAAGTTAATATGGTGTGATGTAAACATTCGGTACAGATAAGTTTTTATCATTAGTTAGGTTCAATTTACCATAAAACTATATGAGATGTCGATATAATAAAATTCTTTGGCGCTATCAATACATATAACTAAAACTATTAAGTAGAAGAAATTTGACATATGACAGGACTGATATTAATTTCAAATGTATCGTACTCCGTAGATATTAGAAGTTTCTTATATTGCTAATGTATAGCATCGTAGTTGGTTGATATAGACTTGAGGTTTACATTTTTTAAGTGCAATTGACAGTTAGCCACTTAAGCAGGCTACTCAAATGCTTTAGAGATATATCAATCAAGCCTAGAAAATGACCTTCATTTATACACGCAATTGATCATTTTGAAGTTTTTGTGACATTTTGCAATATTTAAGTGGACAAATGATGATGACAAATTGATAAGATTAGTTTCATTTGATCGATAAAGGTTTACAGGGGTGTTTATGGTTCGGTTTGGATCAGTTTTTCCCTAAAAGAAACTAAATTAAGTAAGTCGATTTTTAAAATATTTGGAACCGCACCAAACCAATTAAGTCGGATTTTATAGATTCAGTTTATGTGAGTTTTGTTGGGTTTTTTAAGGTATTTAATTAATATATTAAATACTTAAAAGAGGGTGAATGGGAAATGGAGGGAAATGAAATTTTTGAGTGAAATTTTAAGTTCCCCCTCCCTTGGCAAATGGGCATTGTCCCATATTGGAAGAGGAAGAGGTTTTTTATGGGTATATAAGCAATTGCTCTTCTTCTAGCTCTTAAAGAGTTGAGAAGAAGGCAAGCCTCGCGCCGTCGTCGTCGTCGCTCGCTCGGCTTCGGCTTCGGCTTCGGATTTGGTCAAATGATTGATTGATTAACTTTTTGGACCAAATTTATTTGTTAATAGTAAAATATTAACAGAAATGTTATTAAATATTTGTTTTAATAACAAAATATTAATATTAAATCCAATCCGTTTTTCTGTTTTGGTAACAGAAAAGTAACTACCCTCTTCAATTTTCCCTCTTTATTTTCCCTCTTTATTATTGAGTAAATGGCCATTTATGTAATGGCATTTATGTTGTGGGCGTTTTGCATAAACAACCATTCTGAAGAGACCCAACTTTGGCTATAAATACAACACTATTCTGCTCAGAATTTTAACTACAATTTTCTGAGTTTCCTCTCCTTCTTCTGCATACTTTTAGCATCAAAACAAAGCAAAAAAAAAAAAAAAAAGTAAGTGTGATTTGCTACCGAACTTTGTGTTCGCTGAAACACTGGGGTTTGAAGTACCACTACACCAGTGTGTAATTCGTTCTATCCTGGGAGGAAATAATCCATAACCTTGGGTACTAGGAGGGGATTAAATTCCTTAAGGAAACACTGTGAATTCAGTGGGCTCGAATTGGTTTATGTCATTTCTGTTTATATTCATTACTGTTTATATTCATTTATATTTCCAGAATTTATTTTACAAATACAGTGTAATAACAAGTTTTAGTCGGGTTTTTTGGTTATTTATCATTTTTTTCTTAAATATGTGACATACACTATCAAACACATATTCCGGCGATTATATTTTCAGTGTAACACTATTAAACAAATTGTTCTTTGAGAAATATATCATTTACCAAGATTTATCAATGATAATTAAATGAAATAGTGATGAATAATTTAAGGACTCAATTAAAAATAGATTATTTTTAACACGAAATAGATTATTGTACTTAGCAAAAGAAACTACCAATCAAACTGGAATGTAAAAGTAAGAAACTAGATTAATATAGCAAAGAACTAGATTGAAAGTACAAATGATTAACATTGTCGATACCCCCTTTTTCTCGCGAAATCGGGTTTATGACATTTGGGCGGACAACTTGTTTCCTTTTGGGAATTGGGTTTGGATTGAAGAGTCGCCACCTAATGATTAAGTGCATTAGGACACTAGTGTTAGGCACCCCTCGGGATCCACTAGTGTAGTTCCCGGCCATACTATAATCGTGACTTTAAGTGCAAACAACAAATAGACAAATAAGAGTTACAAATATGAGAGGATTTTCACATAATTGTTGTGAATGATTACAGTTAAACAAAGTTGTAGAAGTTGAAATTCGAGGGAAGAAGCAGTTTTAGAGATTTTGAATAAACGAGTAAAAAGGGAAAATTTCCACATAGTTGTTACAAATTAAAAGTAATTAAAAGTTGAAGTCT